CATCATCATCATCATCAGCATCATCACCATCAGCATCAGCATCAGCAGCGTCATCATCAGCATCATCATCATCAGCAGCAGCATCATAATCATCATCATCATCATCAGCATCAGCAGCAGCAGCATCAGCATCCTCATCATCATCAGCAGCAGCATCATCAGCAGCATCAGCATCCTCATCATCAGCAGCAGCATCATCATCATCAGCATCATTTGCATCAGCATCAGCATCATCATCATCATCATCATCAGCATCATCATCATCATCATCCTCATCATCACCATCATCATCAGCATCATCATCCGTGTCATCAGCATCATCATCATCAGTAGCATGATCATCATCATCATCATCATCATCATCAGCATCATCATCATCAGCATCAGCCTCGTCATCAGCATCATCATCATCATCATCATCATCGTCATCATGATCATCTGCATCATCATCAGCCCCAGCATCATCAGCAGCATCAGCATCATCATCATCATCATCAGCATCATCAGCATCAGCATCAGCATCAGCATCAGCAGCATCAGCAGCATCAGCATCCTCATTATCATCATAATCATCATCATCATCGCCATCATCAGCAACATCATCATCAGCATCAGCATCATCATCATCATCACCATCATCATCATCAACATCATCATCCTCATCATCATCATCATCATCATCATCATCAGCATCACCGTCACCATCGCCATCACCAACATCATCATCAGCATCAACATCAATCGCATCATCATACTTTTCCGCAGCATCATCATTAGCAGCATCATCATCACCATCATCATCATCAGCATCATCATCATGATCATCATCAGCATCAGCATCATCAGCATCAGCATGAGCATCAGCATCATCATCATCAGCAGCAGCGGCAGCAGCAGCATCATCAGCAGCATCAGCATCAGCATCAGCAGCAGCAGCCCAGCATCATCATCATCATCATCAGCAGCATCAGCATCAGCATCATCATCATCATCATCATCATCAGCAGCAGCAGAATCATCATCAGCATCAGCATCATCAGCAGCAGCATCATCAGCAGCATCAGCATCCTCATCATCATCAGCAGCAGCATCATCAGCAGCATCAGCATCCTCATCATCAGAAGCAGCAGCATCATCATCATCGTCATCGTCATCGTCATCAGCATCATCATGATCATCATCATCATCATCATCATCATCATCATCATCATCATCATCATCATCATCTTCATCATCATCATCATCATCATCATCATCATCATCATCACCATCATCATCATCATCATCATCATCATCATCATCATCATCATCATCATCATCATCATCTGCATGATGATCAGCATCATCATCAGCATCATCATCAGCAGCAGCAGCATCGCCAGCATCATCATTATCAGCAGCAGCAGCCGCATCATCACCGTCATCATCATCATCATCAGCATCATCAGCATCCTCATCATCATCAGCATCAGCATCACCATCACCATCACCATCATCATCAGAATCATGATCCGCATCATCAGCAGCATTATCAGCATCATCATCAGCAACACATCATCAGCATCATCATCGTCATCATCATCAGCAACAGCAACAACAACCACATCATCATCATCGTCACCACCATCATCATCATCATCACCAGCATCATCATCATCATCAGCAGAATCATCAGCATCATCAGCATCATCATGAGCATCATCATCATCATCAGCAGCGTCATCATCAGCATCATCATCATCATCAGCAGCAGCATCATAATCATCATCATCATCATCATCATCATCAGCAGCAGCAGCATCAGCATGAGCATAATCATCATCATCAGCAGCAACATCATCATCTGCATCATCAACATCACCATCATCGTCATCATCATCATCAGCATCATAATCCTCATCATCTACATCATCATCAGCAGCAGTTGCAGCATCGTCATCATCATCATCAGCATCATCCTCATCATCATCAACATCATCATCGGCAGCAGCATCAGCATCAGCATCAGCATCAGCATCAGCTTCATCATCATCATCATGATCACCCCCACCACCACCACCACCACCATCACCACCACCACCACCACCATCACCACCACCACCACCACCATCATCATCATCATCATCACCACCACCACCACCACCACCATCATCATCATCATCATCATCAGCATCATCATCATCATCATCATCATCATCATCGGCAGCAGCCTCACCATCACCGTCTGCATCATCTTCATCCTCATCCTGTCGCGCATAAAGTCGGCGGCACCTGCCGAAACGCCTCCTTAGCTTCGGGGAAACGGTTCCTGGACCCTGGGACTTTCCCCCAGCACGAGATCTTCATCCCGAGTCGCTTTCTGACTGTCCTGGGGCCCGTGGAGGGCCCCGAGAAACCGAGAACGGCGAAAAAACTCGGGACCCGTTTACCTCATGATCCGCTTCCCCCATGGCGACCTTCGCAATGTGCACCCTCAACAACTCAGGAGGGAAAACAGCACACAGACACGAATAGTCGTCGATCCCAAAGTACATATGGAACATATGGGAAGTGGAGGGGAGGACGAAGATGCAGAGAATGTGGAAGTAGACAGGGAGTCCTGGGACTTGTGCCTATTTACAGTTGGACCTAGGCCAGAAGAACATCCTTCAAGAACAGGAGACCCTCCGCCGGCCAAGATGAAGAACACTCGAGGATACCCTCCCCCAGGATGCGCAAGAACATCCGACAAGAACAGTAGGGCACCCTCCCCGACCTGACGTCGATCTTACACCTCGGTCCGACTGTACGTGCGTGTGCGGCAGTCGCTCGGCAGAGGAGCGCGGGCCCGGCCCGGCCTGGCCGCGCGCCCACTGCGGGGATTCCTTGGACTCCCTGTGCCGGCGGGCCAGCTGCGCCAGCGACTCCCTGCGGTGATGGGACGCCTGGCGGAGCACATCGCGAAACGAGCACCCGCGGAGGAGGAGGAGGAGGCGGAGGAGGACCTGACTGAGGAGGACCAGAGGAGGAGGACCAGAGGAGGAGGACCAGAGGAGGAGGACCAGAGGAGGAGGACCAGAGGAGAGGAGGAGGAGGAGGAGGAGGAGGAGGAGAAGATCGAGGAGGAAGAGGAGATCGAGGAGGAGGACTGCTGCGTTCTTGCCTACGCTTCCTGCCTTTGGCTATGCTTTGCTGCTGCTGCGACTCCACCTCACCCTCGTCCTTCTTCCCTTACCCCAGGACCTCCTTGATGCCTGGCCAGGTGCCTGCTCTGCATCTTCCCTCCTCCCCCTCCCACTGGGCCACTTCGCCCCGCACGTCAGTGGCCCTGCCTGCCCACAGCCATCGCGGTTGATATCCGTCGACTCTGTCGGCATGTGCGAGAGGCGTTTCCGTTTGAGTCGTCGTCGTCGTCGCCGCCGCCGCCGTCGCCGACCCCTTTCCCGAATCCCTCCTACTCAAAAGTTCCAGCCAGTGAGAAATCGAACAACGTCATGATCGAGTCGAAGAGAAGCCCTTTCCCTTTGATCCCTCCCCGCGGAAGGGGTGTCCCGAGGGGTCTCTCGGGGGGGGGGACACCCCTCCCTGTGAGAAATTTCCCCCGTCAATTTGTCTTCCAAACACCTCGAACATACGTGTAACGCGTCTTGCTCCAAGAGGGCCCTGAAACAAACCAAGTTCGCTCCAAAACGGCCCAGGATACCATCATCACGGCCTCAGAAACGCCTAAGACGCCCGAAGAGAGCTCCAGGAGGAGCCCCAAGAGGGCGCCAAGAGGCGAGAACCAATCATTGTCATTTAGTTGGTATTTGTTTCACGTCTTCGCCTTCTCGGGCTTCCGATGCTCCAAGACGGCCCAGGAAGCCCCCAAAAACGCTCCAAGACGGCCCAGAAGGCTGTCAGAAGCGTCCCAAAACGGCTCAAGGCGGCCCAAGACGGCCTGAAGACAGCCAAAGAGGCCCTCCAAACGGCCGAAGAGGGCCCCAAGAACGCCTCAAGACGCTTCCGAAAAGGGGAGCACCAACCGACATTTCGAGCTTTCCGCGTCAAGAGGCCCCCAGGAGGCCCCAAGAGGCGCCCAAGAAGCCCCGAAGAGGCGCCCAAGAGGCCCCAGAGAACCCCGAGAGCACCCCAATAGAACCCCAATTTGGCAAAAACAATGACTGTCCGTCGGAAAATGAATGTGTTTCGTCGTCGATGGCGTCGTCGTCGTCAATGTCGCCACCGCCGTCGTCGCCGTCGTCGTCGTCGTCGTCGTCGTCGTCGTCGCCATCTTCGTCGTCGTCGTCGCCGCCGTCGTCGTAATCGTCGTCATCGCCGCCGCCTCCGTCGTCGTCGTCTTCGTCGTCATCGCCGTCGCCGTCGTCGTCGCCACCGCCGTTGCCGTCGTCGTATTCGTCGTCGTCGTCGTCGTCGTTGCCGTCGTTCCCCTGCAGGATCGGCGGCACCGACCGTAAAGCCTTCGCAATAGAGCACACGTGCGCAGACAAGGTGGTGCTCGGCCAGGTGTGGATTGCAGGAGGAGGAGGAGGGGGAGGAGAAACGAGGATGTGGAGGAAACAGGGAAGGAGGAGGAGGAGGAGGAGGAGCGAGGAATTAGGAAAAGGAGTGAGCAGGAGGAGGAGTCAGGAGGAGGAGAAGGAGGAGGGGGAAGAGGAGAAGGAGAAGGAGGAGGAAGAGGAGGAGGAGGAGGAGGAAAAGGAGAAGGAGGAAGAGGAGGAGGAAGAGGAGCGAGAGGATGAGGCCGAGGAGGGGGAGGAGGAGGAAGAGGAGGAGGGGGCGGAGGAGCAGGAGGAGGAAGAGAAAGAGAAGGAGGAGGAGGAGGAGACGAGGGGAGGAGGAGGAAGAGGAGGGGAAGGAGAAAGAGGAGGAGGAAGAGGAGCGAGAGGAGCGACAGGAGGAGGAGGAGGACGACGATGAGGAGGAGGACGACGACCATCACGACGAGCGAGGAGGGAGGATGAGGGGGAGCGAGAAGCGAGGAGGACGAGGGAGGATGAAGACGAATGACGATAGTCTTT